ACACTTTATTTTCATCTCCATTCATTTTTCTACTTTAATTATAGAAATTCGCACAAAAATTCTCTGTTGTAAGGTGGTTGTCATATCTTTCTTCTCTAGCAAAAAGTCTGCTAATATGTCCGCTTTCATCTAAGAATAAAATGCTGTTGTTTTGTAGAATATGAACACCTTTCCCTTTTTAATCAAAGTGATTTTCATGACTTCATTTATTACTTATACACCAAAACTTGCAAGTATATATTTCTAAGTCATTTGTATTTTCCAAAACTCCTAATTTTTTCTACTTTTTACTGAAAACTGAGTTTATTATCAGAGTTTGTGCCCAACTTTGCTTCACTAAATTCTCAGCTTTTCAAAAACAATAAACACAGGGATCATCTTTCATATCTCCTTTATCACTATTGCCTCCCTAAATGATAAGAATTTCATATTCTTATCTGTACATTGGAAAGTATAGTTTTTAATTACGGTGTATCCTTACATGATTTAAATGCAGTGTAAGAAGATACTTTTTAATCCATGTTAGGTTAACACAATATACATCTAGGTTTTCAGAGATATGTCTCTCTTTACAAGCCAGCCAAATATTTGCACTGTCTATAGGCTTAGCCAGTTCTAAGGTGACATACTAAAGCCCTAATAGAAATAACTATGCAGATCTGGACATGCATAGTGATATGTAATATCAAATAAAACTAGCCCTCATAATATAAAATTTTCCATGAAATTAAACTAGATAATTGATTTGATTCTTTGAACTATAACATGGTCAGTTATTATCTTTCTCTTCAATTTCCAACACTGGAATGAGATTATCTCATTCTTTTATGGCAGTAGCTATGAAAATAAATGTATGCTGGAAGCTATAGAAGATTGAAGAGCTATATATAATGGTTTTATGAGGTAGAATCTTAAAGCTTATCTATGTGACTGTTAATCTGATCTAAAGTGCTTATATTTGAAATATGCAAATTAGTCTCTCAGTTTGATGTGAATATTGTTATGCACTTCATTTAATGAATCACATTACTCTTCTAAAAGGTAATCACAATACAGAGGTTGTGAAAGTTAGCTAATTTTCTATTATGAGTGGAGAATAAACTGATATGGATTTTGTTATGATGGTATTAACTTATATATCTTCCTTTGAAAATTTACTTGTACTTGTATTACTGAATATTTCTTGATTTAATTTGTGTAAGAAGGTAATGTCTTTGACCATGTAAGGTGCTATAAAATATCTAATTTTCATTTCATGCTAGACTTCATTTTTAGCCTACATAAAGAAGGTTATTTTGCTCTCAGGATATTTTTTCCCCATTTATTTCTCTTCTCACTTATTTTTTCTCTAACTATGAAAATGTGAGTTTATTATCATAATTCCTATAGCAGCCAAAGTAGTTTTTTTTTCTTTTCTGCATATCCTTATGATTTTTCATTCAGAGGTAGAGGAAACTGGACAGTTTTCACAAGGTAATAATGCTAAGTAGATCACCATCTATTCTTCATCTTCCATGGACTGATTTTTCCTACATTACCTGCCAACTCTATACAAAGATATAGAAGGTGGAAACTATTTTTGTAAGCAAGGGTTATTAGTCACCAGATATCATCATCCATAAGTTAAAAAACATAGACGTGTGTATGGTCCCTTCTTTATTGAATTCACTTTCTGCTCAGATATTTGTTTATCAGAGTCCTTCTCTGGCTCTATAAAATAGCACAATCTACCCTTACTTTGCATAATTTCTCTTTGTGATAGCTATATTTATCTGATTACATCATATCCTATAGTTTTGATTTTATCCTCCAAGTGAAATGCAAGATTCATAAGGTCAAAATTACATTAAACAATTAGTGCACCTGTATCCATAGTACCTAGAAAAGGGCTGAACCAGAGTAGATATATTCAAGAAATGTTTGTTAAAAGATTGAACCCACTGAGCAAGTAGGAGCACTTTTGAGCTCCCCTCTAGAATTTGTCAGTGATATGGAAAGGCAATATTAAATTCCTAACCATTAGTATAGGAGGGATACTGGCCTATCAGAACATATGCCAACTGTGAAGAGCTAGTAGGGCCATAGATGTGTTTGCTGGCAGGGTGTCCACCATGAGTCTCTGGGTAAAGATTGTTCCTTGGTGGTACTGCAGAGCCCCGGAGGTTAGTGTGCTGGAAACACTGATCACAGGAGAGAAAGTGATGGGCAATAGCATAGATTTGATTAACTTGGTAACTAAATATATATTGTATTTAAGTCTCTTGTATAATAGGAACTTAATTTGAGTAGAAACAGCATTTAATTTCAGAAGTTGTCTTAGTGTGTCTATTAAGAAAGATTTATATTTAAAAGTGAAAGTGAATTCAAGGAAATTTTTACTGGTAGTATAGCCATCCTGTTACAAGTTACAGTAAATGCTATATTTTTAATTTCTAAGAACTTTTTCAAGTAATTTTTTGGAGGCATCTACTGTACTTTTGCAATTAATCCTCTTAAGCTGTCATTTGTATGGGAATTTTAAAAAGTGCTATGTGTTTAAAATGTGAAAGGAGAAGACTAATCTTTTTTTAGCTCTTGAAAATGAGATAATTAAATATCTTGTCAGATTAGATTTATACTTGTGAAAACCTAGAGTTTCAAAAAAAGTTTGAGCTAGAATACCCACTATTCTGTTTAATTGACACTTTTAGATCAATTAATTAGGTCTATTGAGAAAGGAAGAGCACAAAAATTACCAAATCTGCTCCTAAGGAAATTCATCCAGACTGTACTTAACTCTGTCTATGTGGGCTTTGAATTTGAGGGAAGAGAAACCAACTTTAAATGTCAGTTTTTACCACTATTAGCCACATAATGTTAGGCAAGTTAGCTTCCTATTGCCGTATACACCAGCCCTGTTTGTAATTTTCTCACATTTATATTGTGATGTGAGGAACTGTACAATATCATATACTTTCTTGTTTAAATACTTTTTTCATAGAACAGTTAAATCAGAACAGAATGCAAATTTGGAACATTTAGAATTGTGAAATAAGAAAAACTATGGATGCTTTGTCAATTGAGAACTTTCTACCTTGTGTTTTATTGTGTTTTTCAACATCTGTGGTCATTAATATCCCAGTTGTTGGGTGAAGAAATACAGCGATTATAATTTACCCAAAATCACATTTCTGGTAAATTTCAGAGTTCTTACCTGAAACTGATTTTGTTCTATTTATCATATTTTTAAATTACAACTCTAGATAGCATAAATTATATCTAGTACTACCTCAGTAACATCATTAACTCAAAGTAATATTTTTCTATATTCTAATATTGTTGCGTTGGGATGTAGCATTGAATTTGACATTTATGGTCTCATCACCAAGAAACTTGTTGAGACTATTGCATGTTGGGCAAAGAGATATGCAGGATAATATCTGCCCTGCCCTTCCAATAGTCCTGGAAGTCAAATTAAACTTGCAATATAGGTTTGAACCATTATATCTGTAATATAAAAAAGAATGCAGTCATAGCATATGCAACATATAAAATGATATTTTGGGGTTTTTAAAAAATCTATCCTTAGACTCAGAATGTGCTTTCTTAGAATGTGTGAAACCCCAAGTTCAATCCCTAGCACTGCACAAACAAAATCAAA